TTTCTACTCCCGTAAGGATTTACACCCTCGGAAACCCTGTACAGGGTCGCTATGGGTCGGAACCGACTCGAAGGCACTTAACAACAACAACCACTTTCTCTACAAACGTCCAGTTTCCACTGTATTGGGTAACATGAAGTCTGAGATAAAACAGGTTAGCGAAGGTAAGAAATTTAGGCCAATCATAATATGACTTTTACCAAATAGCCCTTAGACTGGAGTTAGACAATAACATTGACTCTGAATCCATAGTGTACCTATAGCAATTAATTAAAACCCCATTCCAACTACCCTCAGGAGCTTGCACTCTAATGAACAAGGCAGGCTGAATAACAACTGTAAAAAGATAACTACAAGCCCCAAGTCCTAGGAACATAAAATGATGTACATGACTAGCCTCAGCTACAGCTGAACAAAGATTGATAGATTAAGGGCTAATTAATCACAGAGGTTTAAATATATGCACTTCCCATAAAGCATACACACACACCCTAGCCCTGGAATGCCTGAAACCAGAAAGGATGCTTTCGTGAAGATCATTAATTTTGAAGAGAATCCACATGGGTAGGAGAAAGAGGGTTTGAGAAAAAGGACTGGAGAGCTTTCCAGTGTTGGTGTTGTTAAATGCCATCAAGTCGATTCTGACTCAGAGTGGCCCTGTGTAGGGTTTCCAGAAAGCAGTTGGTGGGTTTGAACTGCTGACCCTGTGATTTGCAGTCCAGAGCTGATGCTACCGCGCCACACCAGGAGCCTAGTGATAGATTCCTAAATAATCCAATCATTTCAAAACTCTCTGCATCCCCAATTCCTGGTGCTGTTAGTGCTTTGCATGTCATGTTGCTGTTGTTAAGTGCCATTGAGTCAGTTCTGACTCAGAGCAACCTGTATAGGGTTTCTGAGGAGCAGCTGGTGAGTTTGAACCACCTACCTTGAGGTTCAAACAGACCTTGTGCTCTAGTGCTTATCCTGTGGCACCACACCAAGACATAAGCATTTAAAAATCTTTGTGAATGAATGAATGGGAACAGAAGTCAAGGAAGAGGGCAAATTTGAAGGTGAGAGATGATTTGTGTGTGTGTTTTTTTAAGTACATGGTAAAGACCCTTTCCTTGAAGAAGAGCTGTGATGAGCTCTGTTAAGAAAGGAGCTCCACATATGCATAAGAACACCCACACTTGCAGATAATACCCACTTATCCTGGCTTCAGTGACTGGATGATCAGAGCTCAACCAGAAGTAAAAAGAAGAGGGGGAAAAAAAAAAGCATTCTCATACAATTTGATGAACTTGACCTACACCTATGGAAGCTGTAGCTCAAAAGAGGGAACAAGTCCTTACAGCAAGAATCATTCCCACCCCCTCCATACACAGAGTAGACAGGGATGGGCAACTTGGACATTGGCTACCCAAAATGGGGGGCGGGGGGCTACAAAGGCAAGAAGTGACTGGCTTACAAGCTTTCAAGAGGGAACCTAGATCCAGAGGGCCGGGAGGAAGGTAGAATCTCCAGTGAGTAGTATTCAATCTGACTAGGCGGGGCTGATGCAATGAAACACAGTCGGGTCTCTTGTGATACAATAGTGAATAATTGTTATCAGGACTGATTGTGAGGGCCGGAAATGTAAAGGTAGACGTTTTCTAGCAAGGAGGGGAGTGATTAACTTTTCAGTCTAGGAGCAGAGGTCCCTAGGACCATCAAGGGAGAAGAGCAGAGAGCGGGACCCTACCCAGAGAAGCAGTGATGCCTGAAATGGAGGCAGATATGATGACGTGGAGCAATGGAACAGCTGGAGACTTTAGATCCAGAGAGGGAGAGTGACTGTGTGCTGAAGACCTGGGGGGAAACAGGGAAGGATTGCATGGAGGGGATTGTAACCATGGCAATGAGATGGTATACAATAGAATGAATGTAAAACTAATGTTCTCCCATGTATACTATCACATAATTCACAATAAATCATTTAAGAAAAAAAAAAAAGAAAGAAAGAAAGGAGCCCAACAGTACACGGGACATGAATGTCAACAACTAACCGCTAATAATGCTGATCATGTTTATCCTTTAAGATGAAGAGCACGTTCTGGATGAGGAGGAGAATGGCACTCCACAACCAGGAGGTAGGAAAACTCTATAAATGCACAGGCAATGGGTAAGATACTTGGGCTTCCAAGTGGAGAAAGCCTGAATGCTCCAAGTCTGAAGCAGCATCAGACTCACTGGGTAAGAGAGTACTGCTGTGTCCATCCCAAATGTCCATGTGCATTGACTGGACAGGGAAAGAACTTAACTTTCTAGGAGCAGCCACCCATTCACTTTAATTAATGTTCCCAGAACAGCTAAGATTTATTCCAGAGAAGGAGAAGCAAAACCAGATATTTATTTTTTCCTATCAGTATTTCTTAAATCAGTACAGGGAAAATAGAATTGCCTCATCTCTAAGAGATCAGAGGATTGAGAATGGAAAGAATGGAAATGTCTCCTCTCTGAGAGGACCGGAGATTACAAGTTCAGAGGGGAATGGAAATGTGTCAGATCTGAAAAGTGAACCTGGGGTGAAGAATAGAATGACTTGGTGAGGCTGACTTCTGATGGCCTGGTTTGATTCCAGGCACATTTGGAAATGAATATGTAACAGGTTTATTGAATACAAAATTACATTTTATTCATCCCAGACTGTTAACTATGCTGCAGGCTGTTAGTGAGCCCATCATTTCTAAGGTCAGATACCCTCCTAAAGCCTCTAAGTAGGACGAGACCCCACCAAGGACCTATTCCTCCGCTGTCAGTGAAGGAATGCTGTGCCTTGCAGGGGCCACCTCAAGGACATTCATTTCATCAGCAGGGACCAAATCATGGCTGATTTAGATCCTAGCTGATTGTTTTTTTCCTAAAGATTCTGTAAAATCTTAAGCCTAGGAGTTCTTTTCCTCTTTCTCTCCCCATTCCCTCTCCTCTCTCTGGCCCTGTCTTTGCCCATTCTCCTCTCTCCTTATTATCTCCTTTTATTCTCTTCCTTATTCATTCAGTAAAGCCCCCCTTCCTTTGGTTGTTCTCTATAGAAAGGACTACTTAAAAGTTTTAGTTAATGAAGAAGAGTCCAACTTTTCCCATAGGAGACAAAAGACAATAGAGAGACAGCATCAGAAATCTGTGTCAAAGTTAGAGGAACAGAAAGCAAGCAAGGTGAGTATGATACAGAAATGGTAGGGTAGCTTCTAGTGCCTCATCGTAGTTAACACATACAATTAAGTCCATTTTGAAACCTATCCAGTGGGTCCAGAAACCTGTTTTCTACTCATCGTATAAAATCCCAGTACAAAGGCTGTTTCCTGACCAACCTTTTCCCACTTACATCTTTTCTCAACCAATTTCCGTCACTGGCACAGAAATGAAACACTTTATATGGACAGCTTGGGTAGAATAACCATAAGACTCCTACAGCTAGTCTTATATAAACTCCATTCCGGAAGCAGTAGACTTCTGGCACAAGTCTACAGTTCAGTTCAGGCTCCTCCCTCATCTCATTTCCTCCTTCCGCCTCTCTCTCTAAGGTTCTGTCTGGGTGGGGGAGCCAGGGGAGAGTATTTATTTCTGAACTGTTTCAACAGCTATAATTCAAGTAGGTGTTTTTTTTCAAAAAAAAAAAAAAAACCTTTTGTTCCTCATGCTTCCTGCCTCCAAAATAGGTGTTGTTAAGTGTAGCACACTCTAAATATGATTCTATGGTTTATACCTCCCACCAGTTATAATGATTGGTGACTTAGTGATTAAAAAACAGAGGAGGGTTTTTCGCTCTCTCTGCAGAATCTGAGGCAGGAATTTTTATTATTTGTGTTTACTTATTTATTTATTGAATTTATATAGTGCCTTTTCTCCAAAGGAGCTATAGGAACAATCACAAATATGTAACATCCAAATGTCTTCACTTAGCTTTATAACAGTAAAATATAGAGGTCCGGGAGAAGGGCAGACAGCCCCATGAAGGCATATAAAAGGCAAGGCTCTAAGACCATGGTGAATTCTTATAGAACAAGCAATTTTGCTTCACTACATGTTTTCCCAGATATTACATGCTTTCGGGGGAGGGATTTTTTGTAAGCAAGTTGTCCTTTTCCCTCTTTGCTCCTACAGTGTACTGTGTGGTTAGCTATTCCATACACCTCCACCATTCCATGGAACCTATTCCCTGAATTCTGTGCTTTTCCCTAGTGGAGTTGTTAACATTTTAAGGTCCACCTAGATCTTATCAGAACGGGAGGGGGAGAAATTCAGTTTATCCTTACTGGGTGTTAATGACCCTGTAAAATGCAATTCCTTTTATTTTATTCTGTTACCTAGAAAATCTATCACAGCCTTGTAGTATTGATTGTTCAATCTATAAAGAGCTCAGTTTACAGCATGACTGTTAGTAACAGGGTTATTTTAATGAGTGACTCTTCAACACCTCAGATTTTCACTAAATTCCAACCCGTTCGTTTAGCACGCTAACACTACTACTGAGGGTCTTCAGGAATGAGAGCATCCCTTCCTTCCTTATCATGAAAAATTAGCGCCAGGTAACCCAGAGTAAAACTCACTCTGTGCTGTTAACATTAAAATTTGCCATTTGCCTTGGATGTGTCATGTTGAATAAAAAGCAGTCTGGAGGCATCCTTAGATAGATCAAATCCCTGACCAAGAAAGATCTTGAAGTGGGTTAGTTTTGCCTGAAATTGTCAGCATACTCAGCCAAAGAGGAGCCCAAGTTTTTGTGGTGGGCAGAAAAGTGCTTGCATATAAGCATTACATCTCTGAGGCACTCACCACTTTGAACCAAGTGTCATTAAGTCAATTCCAACTATGCTGTGGGATAATGCACTGAACTGCAAGATCAACGGTTCAAATTCACCAGCCGCTCCTCGGAAGACCTGTACAGGGTTGCTATGAGTCATAACACACTCGAAGGCACATTACAACAAGATGCAACAAAATTCCTGGTTGTTGCAAACAGATAATATACTCTGCTGCTAATGAAAAGGATGGAGGTTTGAGTCCACCTAGATACACCTTGCGGCACTGTGGGCTAATGCGTCAGACTGCAAAGTCGTTTGAACTGCAAGGTTGGTGGTTCAAGCTCACCAGCTGCTCCTTGGAAACCCTATACAAGGTCGCTATGGGTCGGAATCAACTCAACGGCACTTAACAACAACAACAGATACACCTTGGGAGAAAGGGCTGGCAGCTTACTTCCAAAAGAACATCAATAGAAAGTCTTATGGAGCAGCTGTACTCTAATACACATAGAGTTACCGTGAGTTGGAATTAACTTGACAACAATTGGTTTAAAGTTGGAGAGTGCCTCAGAGCTGTAATACTTAGGCTGTTGATGTTATGTGCTGTTGGGTCAGCTCTGACTCATAGTGACCCTGTACAGGGTTTCTGAAGAGCAACTGGTGGGGTTGAACCGCATTCTGGTTCATAGTCTATTGCTGATCCTGCACCTTAGTGTCCATCAGTGCATTGAATTATTACACTAAAGAGGCAGAAGGAAACCACGGAAGGCATTTTTAGCTTTTGCCTTTTGAAACATTTCCAAAGACCAAACTTGGGTTGATCATCCACGCACTAAAATTTTGGAGTAATTGAAATGAAAATCAGGATCTGTGCGTGTTCCTCACTTCAAAATCAAATTGTAACATTAAAGACCATAGTAATTTCAAAATACAAGATTCAGGACCATGAAAATCAGCAGACAGCATTGCTCAGGTACCCTTCCTGCTCTGGTATCCGTAGTAAATGGACGTTGGTGATTTTTTTTCATACCTTTCCTGAAAGATTCTATGTGATTTCAGATAGTCTGCTTTAGTGAACTGAACATTCAAGTCCTTTCCAATGGGCGCACTGTTTTGGGCTCCTTTGTCCAAGTCTCGCAGTGCCATGCTCTGGCAGGACTAACGTTATCCATTTTCTCATGCTGTCTCTGAAGTGATTGTACCCAGTGCCAGGCCTTGTTGGCACAGTCCTTTTCCTCATCAAGAAAATGTAAACAACCTGCTGGCCTGCCTTCAGTCTCCTTTCTCTGGTCACAGCTGGAATTCTGGAGCTACTCAACCTCCCCCAAACAAAAGCCCAAGGTGACATATGACCATTGAAAGGAACACAGTCAGGTTCTATTGTCCCTAAGCAGAGGAGAGACTGAAAGGTCTCCTAGCCTTTTACTTTAGAACTCTCCACATGATAGAGGCTGGTTTTCAAATATTGACTCTGTCGGCAGTAGCACCAACTTGGCCTCAGTTACCGAAGACATGACTGTCACTGGTTATAAAGAAGTTGGCATGAAATGACAAAAGCTTTACAACAAATACCTAGAAAAATAGAGACAGCAATACTATTGTTTAACTAGGTCTGTTGCTTTTCTTCCTAGGACATTTTGTTTGCTTAGAGCTTAGCTTCTCCTACATGGGATAACGCAACAGTAAGATGCTGCCCCTTTTTTTCTCCTCTAGAAAAAGTCCTTCTCAGCTCCACTAGCAATTTAAATGCAGTGATCATACCCATTAGCTTCTCTATCATTGTAATTGTTGTTAATTGTTATAACTGTTTTAGTTATTAGTGGTGTCGTGATTGCTCTAGGTCCTCTGTCTGTTTTATGCTGAATATATTAGTACTTTGCTTTTGAATTACCAGGCTTTATTTAGTGCAGAGTTACGTTTTTTGGAGAGACATTGAGAAATGCTGGCATTAAGCTTTATTCTTTTGTTTTTCATTCCAAATGGACAGACTGGAAAAAAAAATAATTAGATAGAATAATGTCCTCAAAATGAGAATGAGGATGTTTTTGAGTTAATTAAATGGTCAGAATGCTGCACCATTTCTGATCTCAGACTGCTGCCAGAGAAGTGTAAACCCACAGAATCTCAACCCAGCCCTCAGATGCAAGCCTCTCTCAATTCCTCTTACTGCTCTGAGGAAATCAAGAGTCTCCTCATGTGGTAGGGTATTTATAGGATGAGCCAGGGACCTTTAGGAAGTAGTTGGACCAGCCCTGCAGACTTCTGAGCCTTTAAGCATCCTCTGGAGCCAAGCTTCAGGAAGAAGCCCCCCTCAGTCTTACCGTATCCCCTCTTCCAGGCCTTTTAATAATACCCACTGAGCCAGTTTTGTGATACAGCTAAAATTTCAGGGACGCCTCCCTGGTGCCTCAGACTAGGTTTTGTTGTTGTTAAGTGTCATCAAGTCAGTTCCAACTCATAGTGACCTTATATAGGGTTTCCAAGGAGAAACTGGTAAATTGGAACCTCTGACCTTGCGGTTCAAACTGATCTTGAAATCCAGTACAGTATCCCACAGCGCCACACCAGGACTCCTCGGTTAGACTCCATATGATACACAGCATCCTCAACTGCTTTGCAGGCATCTGACAATCATAAACAAATAAATGTTTGTGTTGCTATCTGCTTCACGACTGTCACCCTCCTACACCACCACCACTCGAAGGTAGCCCCTGAGTGCAGGGACCTTGTGTGGCCCACGGTGTCATTCCCAGTGCCTAGCACATTCCCTGATACTTCGTAAGTGCTCTGTACACATTTGTTGAGTGCTGAGGAAGGTGTGTGATGAAGATGTATGTATACCTACATATAAATGCAAATCACACAAATATTAGACGGGGGTCTGCAAAACCAAGTCTTACCCAGCTAAGGGATTAATCCCTGAATTCCTAAATGCCAGAATAGTTCCATCTAGATAGCCACGTCTAGCCTTTTCTCAGTGTCTAGTCCTCATTCTGCTTATTTTTAGAGCTGTCTTGTTATCATTCTATTTCTAACTACCCCACCTCCTGGATCCCTGAGCTTTGGGGCTATGGCATCTAAAGAACTGCAGGCCTTAGGTGTCCTTATTTTCTCCAGGAAGGCTTCTAGTTTCTTCCTACTTTCTTGCCTTCTCCTGTGATCTTTTGTGGTTTTGCAAGAAGCTGTTTTCCAGCTGCTCCTCCAGTTCCCTTATCCACCCAATATGAAATCACTTTCTACATGTACACTAGAGGGTCTCCATGACTGCAGGAGCTGCCCATATCCAGGTGCTTTATGGGAAGCAGTAGCCCACAGTGACCTTCTGCTAGCCCAGATGACTTTGTCAGTCTTCTTATCCTTCAGAAATAACAAGTTATACTTTAAAAATCTATTTTTATAAAATGATTTTCTATGCCATAGAAATCCATGAAGAAACCATAAATCCATGAATACTGGTGTCCATATTTTTTATTCCTTAATTTAGTCAAAATCTTAAGAGAATAAATCAATTCCATTATAACTGAAAATTTCTTAATAAATCCTCTGTGAAAACTATTTTCACTTTTCAGAGGCTGATATTTTTCTATTATTTCATATATGATATTCAAAAAAATTTATACTCTTGTCTTTTCTATAGTTAACATTTTTCTCACAATGTATTTTTCTTCCGAACATATTTGTACTCTGGCAGATTGTTTTCACTGTGGTTTCTTATTTGCTGCCCTCTGTTGTCTACTGTGTATACCAACAATTTTCTGTGTAAAGAAAGCATGTCCAAGTTTCTATGTGGTTGACATTTTTACTTCTGTTTGCAGTATCCAAGTCTTAACTAAATAACTCTGTCTCTCCTCTGTTTTTATGCACGGTAAGATTCCCTACTGAAGGTCTTACAGTTTCCAGATACACATAAGGATTGTGTTCCCCTGTATTGTTTGAATTGCTTATAAGTTAGGAATAGAAAACAGGAAGAAAAGAAAAAAAAAAAGTAACTATAGAACTATAGCTAGGGCCTCTGTTCCCTCTTGCCACCCATCTATTCCCATTCTCAGCATCCAGTTCCGTCACCGCTCATGAAAGGATCAAGACAATGAAGGAAAAAAGGTTGTTGTTGTTGTTGTTAAGTGCTGCCAAGTTGGTTCCGACTCATAGTGACCCTAAAAAGGGTTCCTGAGGCATGGCTGGTGGGTCCTACAGCACCACACCAGGACTCCAAGGGAAAGGTGGAAACTCATAAAATAGAGTTCCCCCAAATCTTTTAATTTTTCGTTAGAATGCAGGACTCCTGATCGCCATCAATAGGAGTTTTATGTTTGGTGAGGTTTTTGTTTACAGCTCTCCTACGTAGTATCCAGAGGCACTGGGAGCACTGCCATATTATCAGTGGTCTGTGGGCCTTAGCTCTCCTGCCATTCAAATCCCCAGACCCTCTCCTACTTTGTACTCTAGTGTTTAACCTTTCCGGGTAGAAGATCAATACAGATTCTTCATTGTTAAGAATCGATGGCTGTCCTGTGGCATCATTGCCATCTAGTCTTGCTGAGAAGCCCAGTAAATCTCTCCAGCTGCTTCGAAAGCTTGGTTTGTCGTCTTCAGTTGCTTTCATTTTTAATGCAGATCACTTTGGTTTCTGTCCCCCTGGGGGTTTGCAGATAAATCTTGCCAGACATGTTCAGGGTCTACAAATGAGATGCTGGAAAAGGGCCAGCCCACCCAGAATTTCGTTGTAATGGATGAGACACCCCCTTGGTTCCACTTAAAGACTGGGTCATTCGTTTCAGCATTTATTAGTGACTAGATCATATAGTACCTGGGTGGGAAGTACGCAGGAGGAATTTCCTATGTAACAGGAGGCCAAAATGCGAGACTATGGTGCAGGAACATGCTGGCTGACTCAACCTCTTTTGTAAATAGGCAGAAGTCTGAGACTTAATCCTGTTCCCTACTCCTTCAACTGCGGAATGAAGAGAAGTACTGAGTAATTTAGATGCCCTGGACCAACAAAGTCTGGCAGAAACTCTTTGAGCTGTTTATTTACAAACCAAATGAAAAACTCCCTAATTTTTTTTAGTAACAAATAAATGTATTTCTCATACATATTATTGAATAGCATCCTACTAGGAGTGATCTGTAAATATTTAATGTTAGTTAATGATCTTTTCCCACAGTCCTTTGCTCAAGCTGAATGTGACTGTATCTCATCCCAACCCCCTGACTCTCAGGTTTCCTAGGAACAATACCAGACCCCTGGTTTCCATTTGCAGTCAACATGTGGGTTCCCTAGGAAAGACAGTCCTTTTCATTTTTATGTTTCCTCTCTTTCATCAGTGGACTATGCCAGTTATTATCAGGGCCTCTGGGATTGTCATGGTGACCAGCCAGATGAACTGTCCTTCCAACGGGGTGACCTCATCCGAATTCTGAGCAAGGTAAGAACATAGAGTTTGGGGTCTGCATCGAAAGTCGTGTTTTTCACTCTCCATGATTTATTCACCATAATCAGACTTATTCCAATGCATACATTTCTCTTGTGCATATTACATGGCTTCCTCAAACATAAATACCATTTACTTATGATTGTTAGTGGAAAATTGGATTGAAAATTCAGATTCAGGAGCCAGTTTTCAAATTTTAAAATGTAATAGACATAATACTAAACGAAAAGCACTCAAATGCACTGCCAAGGAATCAAGTCCAACTCATAGTGACCCCACGGAACAGAGTAGGACTGCTGAACCTCTATGGAGACCTGGTATGGCACTAAAGGATAACCACGGACTGCTATCCACAAGGTTGGCAGTTCAAACCCACCAGCCATTCCTTGGAAACTCTATACAGGGTTGCAATGAGTTGGAACCAACTCAACATCACTTAGCAACAACAATCTTTACAGAGGAGTCCTGGTATGACACTATAGGATAAGCACTGGACTGCTAACCACAAGGTTGGTGGTTCAAACCCACCAATCGCTCCTTGGAAATCCTATACAAGTTCACTATAAGTTGGAACCCACTCAGTAGCACTTAACAACAACAACAACAACAGTCTTTACAGAAGCAAACTGACATATCTTTCTACCAAATCTACTGGTAGATTTGAACTGCCAACCTGTTGGTTACTAGCCAAGTGCTTAACCACTCCACCACCAGGACTCCTTAGACATAATACTGTTGTTGTTGTTGTTAAGTGCCCTCAAGTTGGTTCTGACTCATAGCGACCCTGAATAGGATTCCCCGAGAGCAGCTGGTTGATTTGAACCACTGACCTTTTGAGAGTAGTCCAGTGCCTATCCTACAGTGCAACACCAAGACTTCAGATAAAATACTAAAGCTTTGCAAATCAAAAATTTGGTCTTTTTCAGTCTTTTGATGCTTGAAGGTTATCACTTCTGTTCATGATTGATAACCATGTTATACTATTGAAAAATTTCAGGTTAGGTGAGCCACCTACTTATTTCATTTATAGATAAACTAGCCTATAATATGTGTTGAGGAAGGGATCAGAGCTAGTTATGTCACTGGGTTTGAGCAACTGCTGATAAGGCCAGTTTATTGTATCCAGTCCCACATGGACAAGCTAACTTGATTCTTTTCTCAGAGTTAACCCGTAACCCCAGCGAGTCATCTCAGAAGTAGTATTGTTGATCATAAAGAATTGGGTTAATAACAAAAAATCATGAGTGTATCATTGCACATCTGTCATTGATGTGAAGAAGATTCAGAAATCATGGACTACTATTCAGAAATCAGTAGCATCCATTTTGTAAAGAAACAGAGACCACATAAGTGAGCTAAGGTAATACATTCTGTCCCTGAAAGAAGTTATTAAAAAGTTCTCTCTTTATGTGGTCAATCAATACCTACAAACACATTTTTGGACTAGGCCCACTTTGCTCTTTAATTGCTGAGTATGTGGAATGGTAGAAAAGAGTTCTATAAAGAGCAAAACTGAAAACCCACTATTAATCCATCACTTACTGTTCATCATTATTCTGTGAATGTTAGTGCCTTAACCAGCTGTTTATGTTGATTTGAGCTTTAAGCTCTTTAGGGAAATGGGTCAGGTTTAAAGGAGACCCCCTTTAAACAAGGTCTGAATTCAGACTGACCCTTAGAAAGTAACTAGGAGACCTGCAGGCCCTGCTGAATGAAATCACAACCTTCTAGTGATTTCTTCCAGATTTCTAACTCAATACCACCCTAGTGCCATTTCAGAGCAGTTCCAATACACCAAAAATAAATTGGAAGCAAAGAAGGGAGTGGACATTGGCCTGATTGGTATTTCAAATGCCCGAAAGCAAGGTTTGCCGTGTAATAGAATTTGTGTACATTACCACGCTGGCATTACAGGGGTAATCGAGTTATCCACTCAGGTGTGACCAGGCCTCTGTTTGCCCAGAGCCTGCAGGTGAACAAATTAACTGTTTACATTGTCTGGAGGTGCCTGCAGCAGAGGGGAGGGGGGAAGACTGCAGAACAGAGCCAGACTGTCTGCTGGCCTTCTCTCTCTGTCATGATTATTTTGTTTGTTTTGTATGTCTTTTGCCTTTGTTAATGGCTTCTCACTGGGGTTCCCTCTTCTCTAGCTAGCAGGGGCTATGCTGTGACCTGCCCTACAGTGCCGAGCTGTCTTGAGTTACTATAGCCGCCATTGTATTGTTAAGAGAGCCCAAGGAACTTGGGGAGCCTTTCTCATCTTGTTTTGTGTTGTTGTTTTTTAAACCAACCCTTCTTCTATTACTAAAAGCTAATGATTCAGAGTTCATTCAGTGAGAATGCCCTGCTGTCCTGGTTCCACTGGCTTCTTTCTCCATTCTTCTGAAAGGTTGCAAGTCCATTTTCACTCCTGTGTCTTAGCACATTGCTTTTCCCAAAAATTATGCCTGATGCCTCCCTTATCCAGACTGCTAATTCCTGCAGATCAACGGAAATTTCCCTCAGAAAGCTTCATTCCCGTTAATGCTGATTGGGGGATCATTTGAGATTGCGTTTACCTTTGGTATATTACCTAACTCAGTAAGAGTTCTTGGACAGGAAGGAACCTTAAAAGGCCACCCAAGCCATTTCCTTGCCTCTAAAAGGCACAGCTGAACCAATTCAGACAGATGGTAAAGGAGATTCCTAATCTCTGTCTATTCAGACCAGCCACTCCTATTCTCTGGAATGTTTCCTCACAGAGATCCTAAATTCTTTCCACTAAAAGGCCTTTCTTTCTTGGAGTCAGTTACACACAGCCTCTGCACCCTGCCACTCACACCCAGAACAACAGAGCGTAGTTGAGTTTAGTTCTAGAAAGCTCCATTTTGCTTTTCTCTCTGTCCAGTAAAACCTTGGTCAGGCGAGAAAGATCTGCTGTGTAGCAACCTGGGGGAGTCCATTTTCCTGAGAAACAGAAGAGAAAATCAAACTATGTGCAGATCTGGTAGCATAGTGGTTACGAATCAGGCTGCAAACCACAAGGTCAGCAGTTCGAAACTACCAGCTGTTCTGCGGGAGAAGGATGAAGCTGTCTGCTCCCGTAAAGATTTACAGCCTCGGAAACCTCGTACAGGGTCGCTATGGGTCGGAACCGACTCCACGGCACCTAACCAACCATGTGCAGATCAGCTTACCTGGACCTGTTGCCTCACCTCAAAAATGAGGTGGTATTAGATGGCTACTAAGTTTCCTGGTGTGGCGCTGTGGGTTAATGCACCAGACTGCAAAGTCGATTGAACCACAAGGTTGGCGTTTCAAACTCAACAGCCGCTCCTCAGAAACCCTATACGGGTCATTATGGGTCAGAGCCAAGTTGACAACACTTACAACAACAACAACAACAAAGTTCCTTCTACTTCAGATATTCCAGTTCTAACCGTGGTGAACTTGATCCTGCAACACTGCCAAAGAAATTACACACACACACACACACACAACTGTATTTTAACTTAATTACTCATTCTGATTTAAAAAAAACAAAAACAACTACCAGCTCTTCCTGGTTTTTGGCCTTCATACATGCATCTGTTTTCCCCTTCTGTCTAACAATAGAAACATTCTGAAGCTGGAGGATTGGAGGAAAGGAAGCAGCCCATGGATGGGGAAGTAGAGGAGGGAAAAGGGTGACAGCTTTATTCTTGGACTCCCGCCGCACCCTGCTGTTTCTTAATAGTCGCCCAAGTCTAACTCAAGATTGAATCCTAGGGCCAAACTCAGGAGAGGCTTTATTCTCCAAAGTGACTGGCTGGACAGCAAAGATTCACCCATAGATAAGAAAATGCCCATCACCTGCTCTTGGGAAAACAAATAAGTACCAATAATAGGCGGTTATTGATGTGATCCTGAGTAAACTACTTAATCTTGCTAATCCTCAATTTCCTCACATGTGAAAATTGCAATAGTTTGTATTCATAGTGTTGCTGTGATGCTTACATTAGAGAATTTGTGTAAAGTGCTTGGCATCTAGTAAAGGATTATTGTTGTTGTGATGTGCCGTGGAGTCAGTTCCGACTCATAGCGACCCTACACAGGGTTTCCGAGGCTGTAATTCTTTACAGAAGCAGACCGCCTCATCTTTCTCCCGCGGAACCGCTGGTAGTTTTGAACTGCTGACCTTGCGGCTCGCAGCCCGATTCGTAACCACTACGCTACCAGAGCTCCTTATAGCTACTGTATTTTTTCACTTGCAATGCCACCACATAAATACCATGCACATGCATATAAAACTCATAGAGCTCATATAAATTAATGTGCCAGGGGGTTGCACAGCTTGCAAAAAGCATAAATGTGCATGCTATCTGTGTAAAAATACATACATTAGTATTACATTTCTTTCCCTTCCACTAACAATAAACCTTTGGGGTCAGTGTTGTCACATAGTAGGAGTTTACTAAGTAATTGGTGACTTGTAAAGGGAACAAAGGCGGCCTGTAGGATAAGCACTGGATCACAAGGTTGGTTTGAACTGCATGGTCGGCAGTTCAAACTCAGCAGTCACTCCTCAGAAACCCTATGTATCAGAACCTAGCAAAAACAACATATTGCCAAGGACTCTTCATGGAGTTGCATGAAGTACAAAAGGTTTCCACTTGGCTATAGAAAACCGCCCAGTAAAGAGGCCTACCCAAAATCCACCATGCCTGAGGGTTGCATCACTGATATTCCAGACTGTTCAAACTTCTTATACAGAGAGAGACCAAAGCCATGTATGTGAGCTCTGAAACCGTAGCCAGAGGTACAGACAGCAGGTCCCAATGACCTCCCCCAACACATGCCTACATCCTAGGTCTCATGCAGCTTCATGCCCACTAAATTCACTGAGTTCCAGTTTGGGTCTTAGAATATATTACAGGGAGGCTTTAATAAGGAAGCAGATCTGGGCATCCAGAGGATATTCCTGCATTCCTTTTGGGCCCAAATATTTGTGAACAGCTTTATGTGGTGCAGGGACG